AATTCAAATAATTTACATAAAAATGACCTTACAGTGGTTTTCACTATTTCCACTGAAAATTTCCATGCACTAAGGTGAGTAGATTAATTAATTTGTAAAGAAGTTGCTGTTCGGTAGTGGTCGTGGTTTGCTTTCAAACGACTCACATACCATTAGAGAGGGAAGTATAGGGATTTTCACAGAAAGTTCGAGAATGGTTTGACACCAAAGTCGCGAAGTTTTGGTTTTCATGGCTAAATCAAAATTGAGGTTACAAAGAAAAAAAAAGCTTTCTGAGGAGGAAAAAAAAGAAGGCAGAAATCGTTTTCGAAGGGGATAGTTCAACATTTAAGGTCTAAGAAGAGTTGAATTCCACTCACATGGTGCAAAAATAACTGATACCTGCAACTTTAAACCAGCATATCTCAACTCGGAGTAGTACTAGTAGCAGTAGTACTAGTAGTACTACTAGGATCTACAATTTTCTGCAGTTCAAGGTCTTCATTGTTCTATGGCAGTGAAATTTTGATTCTCTAGAAACCACAAAACGTATTTTGTGCACTTTTACTTTAAAGCTAGTATTTCGAAAATGAATGCAATTGAACAGCGCTGTTTCGTCCATCGGAACGCAATGATGTTTGTAGCTTTCCGCCAGAATTTCAAGTATTTTGATTTAACTTTCACCCTTTTAGAGGTTTTTATTCTGAACAACTTCAAAATCAAATAACGATTGTAAAGAAGCGCACATGCGCTTAAATGAATAGAGAAAAGCGTTCTTTACAAATCTATCGCGTTTTCGACTCTTCTCCTAGCGTTCAGAAAATTATCGGCACTTTGCAAAAACTAACTTCGTACTCGATGAGTTAATAACGGATGAAGTCCTGCTCGTAAAAGCACGGCTCTGAGGAAGGCGAAATAGCCGGAACGTCAGCCATCGCCCAGCAACATCAACAGCAACGACAGCAATAACAACAGCAACAACAACAACGACAACGATGACTTATACCAACTTCGCCTCAGCTCAACAAGACCAGTTTATAAGATCATATAACTAAACATATCAACTATTTATGCTGAATTTTATAGAAGTCGGTCTTTTTAACCACTGAATTCTCTAGAACAGCCCCTTTAAAGCAGTGCTTGATAGCTGCTCCAATTTCGTTGGACACAAAGGGCAAGCAAAATGAAACCCCGTTCTCACTAGCCTTGTCGTTTAAGGGCGTTCCCTTTTCCGAACCTGTCCTCACCAGCTGCTTATATTCGTTGAAAATGGAAAAAAATTATCTTTTACAAGTCTATCATGTTTTCGACTTTTCTTATGGCTTTCACAAAATTATCAGCACATTGCAAAAACCCAACATCGCACCCTGTGTGTTAATATTGGGGTAAGTGGTGTCCATAGGCAGTTGGGTCCATGGAGACTGGAAAAATTCTTTTGTTTTGATAAAGTGAATTAAGCTTTAATTCGCTTTCCATCTCATGTAACTGCTGTGAAGCAGGAGTGAGCTCAAGGCCAGACAAAGTTTGTAATAAACGTAAGCGGCAAGCTGCTTATTTGAGATTTGGCTTTCTTCTTCGTAGCGTTTCATCTGCACTTATGGGCTTAAGCTTTAAAGTTTTTTCTCTTTTGATTGGGAGTTTTGAGAATATGCGAGTGCAACAGTGTTTGTTGAAATATTTGCCAAGTCATCGAAATGACTTGAGTCAAAAAAATATTCTCTTCGGCTGCTCTCGACAAAGAATAAAACGTTCTAAAAAAGGCCAAACCGTCGAAACGTCAGCTGCTGTAAAGTCTCAATAGGTGCCGAGGTTAGTAGAAAGGCGATCTTGGAGAGAAGGAATTTGCCAAAGTCTGTGACATTGCATTTCTTGAATTTTGTAGTAAAAAATGAATCTGATCTGAAGAATGGATTTTTGCTTTCTTGCTACACGGAACGAGGTGACTCGTCCACCCGCCTTTGTTGTTTCCCTCTGCTCACTTTATATTCCAAGCTCCCAATTAAGTCCTGTTAAACGCGTTAGATTTATTTTACGCATTTCACTCTTTAATGCATTGGTACGAATGCAACCTCATTCTGCCACTCCAGGAAATTTCGTAGAAAGACTGTTTAATTAAGAACTTGAGATTAAGAAGAACAAGAAGGTTGGTCAATGTAGAGAATTCTATAGTCTAGACACCTTATTGGTATCTTCGAATTTATGGATGAACCATTGTGTAGGTTTTTTCATCTGTAGGGTTTCTCAGATTATCTGCATTATTTGGTTCCCGTAAACTGTAGCTGTTGTTGTTTAATACAGAAGCATAAAAGATTTATAACGGATAACGGTATAGTTTTTGATATCGATAAAGCTCTAAAGCTGTCAGCGTTGATCAATCCCTAGAGGATACGCCATGCATCCGACTTCACTAAGCATCGTTAGGAGATGATTGAATGCATATTTGGCCTTTACAATGACCAGCAGTGGCCTACCGATGTGTCGAGCCAGTGCTCCTATCCTTCCAGATACGTTCGGTACCAATTTGCCGACCCCGGAGGGATGGAAGGCTTAGTGAGCCATAGACGTGGAGATCGATCCCATGTGTATGTGTTGCAGAACGTCTCTGACCACCGCGCATCACGTGCCCTTTTTTAGTATAGCGGTCAGTATCCGCCTCTGTCTGATATCGATAAAACAAATAGCATAAATAAGATTTTTTTTAATGGTTTACTTTGCTAGCCGATAATAACACAGACTTCTGCACGATGTGCGCTATGATTATGTCCGGGAGAAAAACAAGTTGTTATCACCGGACATTATCAATATATCCACCATCAGCATCGTGTATAAAAAAGCATCACTGAGTAAGGATGCCTCATTCGAGGAGATGGCTCACTGAAGAAGGCCTGACTCGACACGAAGGCGAAGCTGCCACGTCGAGACGAATAACAAGCGAGGACCATCGACTCGGATCATCGGCTCTGAGGAAGACGAAGACGACGAAACGTTAGCCGAAAATAAACGTCATTATCAACCTCGTGTAAGCTCATCAAAGAAAAAATACATATTGGTTTAGTTCGTATTTTTGTTGAGCAAACGCGAGGTGTTATTATTCTTTATTCACGAATAAGCTGACGTTTCGGCGAATTTCGCCTTCCTCAGAGCCTGGAAAGGTCAAGTTGATAGCAATCTACTCGGCCAGACGCCTCCATAACCAAACAAAGAAACCCCAAACCAAGATTTCAATCACTTTGAACACAGCTTTGCACACTCACCGCTTCCTATGAGGTTTCCACTAAATATGTCACGTAGAGACCAACCGTCGTCCCCGTCATAGTTATAGTTAGTTAATTATACGACTTCGAAGTATGTGTCACGATCCTCGCACGCGAATCAAGAACACAGGCGCGAAAAACTCTCGAGGCACTCTGGATTAATTCCAGAAATCCGAAAATGAACCGCAGAGAAGAATGCCTCATTATCACGCGTGATATAGGGCAGTCTATAAACTGTTTTCGGATGTGAGGGGCACATTATACTTCCACTTGATTTCTGTGCGGTTGGTCTCTACGTGACAAAATTAGTGGAAACCTCATAGGAAGCGGTGAGTGTGCAAAGCTGTGTTCAAAGTGATTGAAATCTTGGTTTGGGGTTTCTTTGTTTGGTTATGGAGGCGTCTGGCCGGGTGGATTGCTATCAACTTGACCTTTCCAGGCTCTGAGGAAGGCGAAATCCGCCGAAACGTCAGCTTAGTCGTGAACAGAGAATAATAACACCTCGCGTTTGCTCAACAAAAATACGAACAAAATCACTTGAACAATGCCGAGGTTAATAGAACGTCGGTCGTGGCAGTTACATATTGGTTTACTTTGCTTCCAGTTTACAGCGTTCATCAACAAGAAATCTTATTATTTCGAGACATTACTTCTATTGTAACCCTGTTTTATGTCTCGATTTTTCTTCCCTTCTTCCTCTTATTTCCCATTAACTTTTCTCTAAACCATATTTTTATCAACTATCATCAATGCTTCTTTTTTCACAACGTGCTGAGTAAATTTGAGGATGTATGACTACTTGTGCCATTTTTGTCCCTTTAGACTTTCGAAGTACATACCAGTTAATTCCTCTAGCATCTTAGGACTCACTTACCCAGCTATTGCGGTTCGATAGAAACCAAAAACTGAATAACTTTTTGGTACGAGACGCCTTCAATTCATTCATCCTTTTCTCACGAGTCTTCGAATTTTGCCGTGGGGCCTATGAGCTTACCACTCAGTCAGCCGAAAGCGACGTGAAGGAAACAATTCCCTTTCACACGGAGGGATCCGCTTATACATGTCTAAATACATACGGAAAGTATATGTATAGCCTGTAAATCAAAGACAAAAAGACCATCTGCCGGTTCTTCGTGCATCTTAGCACAAGTACAAGTTCGCTTCAGCCGGTGCTTAAACACCAAACCCTTTAAACACCCCACCCTACAGTGGGCGAGCCACGCGTCTCTCAAGTAGCTCCTGGGTAATTGTTATCCTCGAAAGGAAATACGCATCCGTATAACATACACCACACTTTTCTGACAAATTTATAATGTGCATTATCAATCAACTTTGCTATTTGGTGCTTAAAGCTCTAGCAGCCCAACTTCGCTAACAGTGGTTTTTGTTCGAGCACGTTTTACACTTGCCTTAAAATTTTCCAGTTGTGCTACATTTTTCCCTGAATTCATGTTAAGGTGTTTCCAAGTCGCTATAAGTGGTTCTTTGTCTACTACAGGCGTTTTCCGGCGCTTCGTTACTTGTTGAATAACAACTACACTCAGTCTTCCTTCTACGTCTTCGATTTTAGCTTCGAAGCGATCTTCATGTTATCTTCTACTAATGATTTTCCTTTCAGTATGCTTTTTTATGAACTTTTTTTAAAGAAGCCTCACACTCTTTAGAAAAGTTTCGGCAATGAAATTTATCACCGAGTAGAGCGTATTGTTGAGAAATTGCTTGTACTCTTGACGTCTGCTCCATTTTGAGAGCCGTCGATTTTCAGCGATGGGCAATCAAAGCACCAGGCGGTCGACGACACATCGAAAACACGTCATGCACTCTTGGAACGTTCTCTGCAAACAGGGTCCGACGCTGATCAACGATGCTATCAGGTCAGACAGACACTTTTGCACAACACCACCATTTTCCTCATTTCCTCCAAATCCCTCTATCGTCGTCCTGTTTTTCCGGAAAGACGACAGTAAGTGAATTCTCACCACTGACCGCTACGATTCTCACGCAGATGAGGAATATTTTATGGAAAGGATTAATGACGTTCGCCACAATGAAAGTGTCCGGAAGCTTAGGAAAAGAAAGGAGGAGGAAAAACTATAGAAATAGAAAGGATTTCGGTTTTCAAGTCCATTACAAAGACAATTAAGCATGGCATTTTGATTTTTAATTAGATTCAAGTTTAAGTGACAAATCAGTTAAAATTGCATGCCTACCAAAACCCATGGCAAAATTAACGCGAGAAAAAAAGAAACGCTGTGATTTGTGGCACTCCCCCTGCATGCTTAAATAACACTTCTATGTTCTCATGTGACAAGATTTCATAGCACCTACTCTGTCAGCATATTCCTAAGCTAACCGATTTTAAGTGCTTAGAGTTCGTTTGGCTTTCCAAGGCAGCGTCAGTAAATTAGGAGGTCCGAATGAAAAAAGATGACTTGAATGAAGTGTTGTTATTCAGCATCTCATATTCTTCAAACTCGAATAATGGATAGAATCAGTTTTAAGGACGTCTGAATTGAATTCAACTGAAGTTCACCCTTCTCCATTATGCGAAGGATCTCAATCTTCCTAAATTGTTTTCCTGTCCTTGGCTTATTCAGCAGTGAAACAGACTTCTTTATGCGCCCGTGGAAACTTTTAATACTTAGCCTGACGGGAACGAATGAAATATGAAATATTCAAGTATTATTGACGAATAATTAAATTCTATAAAGAATGAAGATAACTCGGAGAGGTATTAAGCTTGAGCGAAATCGTAATGGGAAATGAAATAAAGTCAGTTCATCAAATACATTAATTTAAGAAGCTTTTGTCATCGGACTCATCGTTGATGCCGTATATCACCAGTTGTGAGAAAGTAAGCGATAAGGGACGCCGTTGCATCGTTTGACCCATGAATTAGGTTCGAGATAAAATATTTTAAAAAAATAACAAAGTAAGAAGTGACAAACTGGGATATTATGTGTGATGCAACCACAGTGATGGTGGGATATTTAAAAAGCTCCGGACCGCAGGTATCTGCGGTGGGGAACGAACGAGCTATTATCCTTTTCGGGTGCTAACGCATTCACCACCACATCATGCAGGTCCTTCGTTTCGCCTGTCTATCAGCTAGCTTTAAAAAAGTAAGGAAATTGTAAATACAAATAAGTCGGAGTTTTTAAGAGGGCCCTATTCCAACAATACAGAAGTATAACTGATTTTTAGAACAGTTTCACTTTCTTCGTTTTCAGTGAAGCATGGCTAAAGGCGGCCGAATTGACACCGACATGGGTATGGGCGCTTGTGGACCTACCGGAGACAATGCATGCCAATTACAAAGAAAACGCACGATTTCTTCACCTTATTCAGCAGGTGATTTAATCCAACTCCTAAGAGGAAAACAGCAGACGGCGTTGGACGAGACTGACGAGCATAAGAGCTTCATATGAGCTCTTGAGATCTAATAATGCCGTTCTCGAAATTGAAACTGATGTGCACACATGATCCATTTCAGCCGCAATGCGGCGAAACCACTTATAAGTGTGACGTGGCCTTCTCATTTCTCGAAAAGCCTTTTTGACATATGTCTGCACCCCTGGTAATCGAAATTGTCTGAAAACATCTCCATCATTATGACATCGCTATTCAAGTGCTTGGGAAAAAAATACTACTGTACTTGGAATTGAAGAATATACCGATTATGGACGTCAACGCCTTTACGACTTCAATTTCAGATATCTGAGTAAAGTTTTCTACTGATGAAGTTAAGTTTGTCAACTTTTGTGACGGAGGTCATGAAAAAAAAGGACAAAGCTCTCGGCGTTGATCAATCTTTGAGGGATGCGCCATGCATTCGACTTCATTAAGCATCGTTGAAAGTGATTGAATGCACATCTGGCCTTTACAATGACTCGCGGTGGCCTACCGATGTATCGAGCCAGTACTGCTATCCTCTCAGATAAGTCTAGTACCAACCTGTCCACCCCGGAGAGATGGAAGGCTTGGTGGGCCATGGGCGCGGGGATCGATTCCACGTATGTCGCCGTGGCGCCTCCAGCCGCTGCGCCACACCCGAAGGACCATGTGTCTGTTTTCACTTACAAACTTTATTGTTGATTGCTTAACAATGATCACACACTCGGCCGTTCTCCCATCGTTGCTCAGTAGCTTGAAAGGCCGATCTGCTGATCAGCAAAAGATAGGGCATATTGCATTCGATATTGCGGAAAAGATGAATGCACATATGGCGTAAGGATTGACTTAAAGAAACCTACTAATGTATTACATCAGTGTTTTCCTGTCATCGGTGACAAGTTTGGTACCAATTTTCCGACTGCATCAGAGAAATGGACGAGTCGTTTTGTGCGTGGCGATGGAGTGAACCAACGATCCTAGATGTGTTGCAGCGCACCACCAACGGCCGTGTTATACGCATGTTTTCCGTTAGGACTAAAAAAAATCTCATGCAGAATAACTGGAAGGTAATACTCCTAAGAACGGCATATAACTGCTTCCATTTCTCCTCAGTTACATTCCTCTTCATTGATACTCTTTCATACAACCTCTGAGCTTCCACCATAAAGCTCTCCCTCCATAATGCAGAAACGACGATTCCATTAGCGAAAATAAGTGATTTCGTGGGGTGACCCCAAGATATCTCGCAAGAAGGTAATCGAGCTTGTTATGTGAAAACCCCTCTCGTCGTCCCTGTCCCTCCACAGGAGCGGAAATTCGAGAAAATTGAGCGCATATCCTTCGCCGACGTCAACTGTTTATCATCTAGCAGAGACAAAAACCCTAAACGATTACTGAAAAAAGCGAAATATTGCTTGAAAGCTAATGCTAATTACAAACAATAATATTAACTGCACTAACCTCACTTAATTACTAAACTAACTACTAACTAACTAGTTAACTTATACTTACTTATACTTGCTAATAATTATTTTTTAGGCTTCATCATCGGATATACACATTTGAACTTATTATAAAATCGAAATGAAAACTAGTCAGAACCTGCGTTTTTTGCCATATAAGATATAAATCCGTCCATTCCTGAGCTATAAAGTTATAGCCCTCTGTTGCATGCGAATCTTCTGCAAACAATTTCAGAAGCGTGGCTTTATTGATGGGAATTTTCTCAGCAGGTGTTCGGTGGAGGGCTAGAAAAAACTCTCAACCGGTTGGCAAGTATGTTAATGAGCACGCTTGGTATGGGAAAGCTTCGCATCTTAAACCTATGTAAATGTGTTTCCAGAAAGTGAATGCGACAGTGAATTTGATTTTTAGAGGTGGTTATTTCAATGGCCCACCTTTATTTAACCTTACGAGGTAGAACCATGTTTGTTGTGTTTCCAATGAACAGATCTAATTTTTACCTACCACACTGGAAAAATGTGCAGAGTTCTCTTTCCTTACTCATCCAATCTAAGCAACGCTCATTTGTCGAGTTTTTTTTGAACATGCCTTGTAATTTGATTGCGCTTGCTCGGAACCAGTGAACCGTCCAGTTCTTATACACCACAAATGGGTTTGTTCTTGGATCGGCCTGTTGAGGTTTTCAGATGTTCATCTTCAATGAATGAGGAGTCACGGAACTCTTTGCTGCTCTCTACTCTGTTATTTAGGGCTTCCAGATCTGATCCAGATCTTCTGAATAACTTCTACTTTTAGATGACTTAAATAATACAATGTTGCTATTAACCTTTATTCGGTTGACGTTCCTACGTTTTTGACTTATTCAGAGTAGCGTTTATGCAAGTCGATTGTCCTCATTCGATAGTAGTCGCGATGTGAGTCTTCGCAGTTGCGTCAAGTCGGATTTTGTGAAGTAGAGTACTACTGGAAGGAACTACCTCACTAGAACACTGTTATTTTATACCGAACGGTTGCTATTGCCACTGTCACCAAAGAAAGCAAATCATATCGGAAGGAAATAGAGCAACAACCTTCCTGTATAGAGGGGCATCGCAGAGTGAGAAAGTTCCATTCGAACGGTGCTTCCTCCACTGAATTCGACTGAATGCAACAACGAAAGTCTACATCGCACAAATGACCAGTTGTGGACCATCGACTCGGAGCAATGCGTCTCCGAAGAAAGCGAAGACGTCGAAATGGAGATTTGTAACAGCCCCGTATTAGCTCAATCATCTGAGGAAATACCGACTGGACAAATCGAGGTTAAAGGAAAGCCGGTTTTAAAATTCTAGAATTTTTTAACAAGGAGAGCACCATTTAGAAATACAATGGACCATTCAATCTTATGCCGGCAATTTAAGCTTTCATTAATAAAAGAAAGAAGTTGCATCTGAATTGAACTTTAGGGGTTAAAAACACGAAGCCAGTGCGAGTAATCGAAGAACAATAACTAAGAACTAGTTAACCGATGTAATGGTGTGAATAAAAAGGCCACTGACACTAATTGAAAACAGAAGGTAAGGAGAAAAAATAAGAATAGAGAGGAAAACAAATAACTCTACTGGCTCATGATTCAGGTGGTTAACGGATTTCACTGCTTTCTTTCTTTAGGAGGAAGAGTTCACCAGTTTCAGGTTCGCAATTTCCTTCATCTATTGATCAAAGTGCACAGATGCGATGCGGAAATGATTAAAACGTTGGCGTTTCGGCTCGGAACGCGTCACAAGTAAGGCTATTTTCTTTCCAGTTGTCTTTTTTTGGTTCAGGATGCACTATTTTCCTAGATCAGATTGAAAAGGACACAGAGGAAGTACATTGCTTGGCGCGCAGCTTCCATAAATATTCTATAACGAAGACAAAGAAAAGTATAACTCTGTACACCATTCCATCTGCAGAGTTTGAGAAACATTGTTTTTGTTAGCTGGAAAATCGCTTCCTATGAAATCTTCCGATAGAAGATACGATAGAATTTCACCATGAGGCTTGGTTGCACATAGTTTACACTTGGATGAGCCGTCCTTGTGATGAGTTTTCCACTTCTAACTGTTATAGAATGACCCGTCTTCGTGAAAAGTTTTCCATCTCTATCTAGCTAGCATATTATTTAATGATTTCTCAAGGATTTTTTCTAAAGTGCACAGAATAGTGAGTGATGCTGTCGTCAGGTTGTTCCCTCACGCATTTGCGGCCGACGACAATGGCCGAGCAAGCGAAGTTCGCCGTTCCGAAACTCTTCCGACGGCTATTTCTGGCATTCATATGCAGCGATGATTGAGCTTCCAGATGGAAATTAAATTTGTTACACTTGAGGTATAAAAAGGACACAAAGCTGTATATGGTTAGAGAACTTTCTCGGAAGCCGCAGAACAAAGAAGCTTCTTCCTTGATTGTCTACTCAAAGGCTTCCCACTGATCGCAAATCCTTAAGCTGTAAGGGTCGCGGACTCCATTTTAGTGACAACGTTTTCAAGCCAAAAACTGTGAAATGCGAGTCATGTAAAATCGGAATAGTCTTGGATGTCGTCGAGTTTGAGATATATATTTTTCCAGAAACTACATGAACGAGGGAAATGATAACTCGTATTGGGCTCCATTCGCTCAACAATTGCCCATATCGATTGCTAAGACGTATATGGATGTGGTTAATCATGATAGTCGGTAAGTTTGATAATATTTTAGCTAGTGTGCTTTGCTTAGGATTATAGAGTAGACCTCATTTTTAGTGCCTTAACTGGAAGAACAAGTGACTGAGCTTACAGTGACAGCTTAACTGAGGAAATTGCCCATATTGTTTTTCTCACTAAAAAGTTCTTAGCTTCGATCTGAAAGCAAAGGTTCCGTTAGCGGAATTCTTCAATACTGGTAGTTGGTTTAAAACTAAATGAGGACATGGAGCTATTTGAACATACTGAAGAATACCCAGCCTAGATTTCGTTCAGTTCTAGATTTTTCCTTAGCCCCTTTTTTGAAACAGAAATTACTCATGCATTGATATAATACATATATATATATATATATGTGTTTATATATGTATGGATGTATGGATGTATGTATCTATGTATACATAGTTCTATAATGCATTGCCATTCCATTTGTGCAGACGTATGTGGGTAGAGTGGGCCATTTGCATTGATTCCAATGAATATTCTTTCCGATTGTTTATTTTACCCCAAAGCGTTCATTTCCTTCGCTTTCTATACTGAGTAGATCATACACAGGTGTTGTGCCGTGATCTATGAAAATCTATTGTCTACATCTAATATTTCACAAAAACAGACTTTTCGAAAGGGTGTTCCAATGCGCATCGCGCGGCAAGGAATTTAGCGCAGTCCCATATGGCTGCCACACAAAACTGAGCTTAGTAAAGTTGAAGATCGCAGAGAAGACCTGACATGTCGTATTTATAATTTCCACTAAACTTCTTTAGGGTTTTTCACTAAAAAGAAGACAAATTGCTCACATTATGCAGGATCCGACGCCTGTTTCGCGTTCGCGTGCACGCTGATCGAAGTGAAGAGGAGGAGTTAGTGGATGCATGGCGACAGTTGATGAACACCATCGTCGAATCCATGAAACGCGGCTACGAAGGATGTGCTTCGCAAAAGACGCCGATGAGACTTAGTATCACCAAGTACGCCCTTCAAGGCACATTTTCTTTTTGCTACGCAAAACCTTTTCCTTTTACCTCTGAGTTTATTCGGCTGAAGGTGTCTTTTCTATCACTGTTGTTTGTGGTTACATTGTAGAGCTATTCTTTTTGACATTTCATATATCTTTCATCCATAGTCATTTAAAAGTAGACCCATCTACGTATCGTTCCCACATGAGATTTTGAGTGCGTTCGCTGCTAAGGTTCTTATCGTCGGATAATGGATACGGGACTGAACACTGATGAAAACTGACCTTTTCCTTGCCCTAAGAAGTGCGAGAATTTATGGGAAGAACTCTCTGTTTTCCTTGAGCCATAATGATTTATACATGAGCCTTGTTTTACTCACTTTGATACTTTGGTACCTCTGTTGTGAAAGGAAACCACAAACTTACTGCTGCTTAGTTCACTTTACGCTTCGCTGTTTAACATCCGCCAAGAGGGAAAGTTTTTCGGCTGATGTGTGTGCTCTGTTGCTATTTGGCCCTTGCATCTTCCTCCCATTTTTTTTCACGAATTGGAAAATTGCTTGTCACTACTTATTTTAACTTCATTTCGAGTGTTTGCACGATTCGTTGAATAAACTTAAGTGTTTTCCTCACTTTTACAACCTTTTTCTTCGCAAAGATTCTCTTTTTTGGTATGGAACCCAAATGACGACAAAATGAGAATATGCAGCTTTTGCTCTTACAGAAACTCTTCTTTTAGTAGTATCATCTCTATGGCGTCGCTGCGTTCTGGACGTAGTCGGTCGGCACCACATTTCCTTGAGCCCGCCCTATCTCCAGTACTGGGTAAGTTTATCATCTCGTATTTATCATTCATTGCCATATTTAGACTCAAAAACTTTTAAAAGATAAATTTCGTGCACAAATTTCGTGAAGGAGAGGCAGAGAGCGAAAGGTAATGTGAGCATATTTTTTAAACGGGACAGGAATCCCGTTCTTCAATCCGACCGTCATTTAAGCTCGATAGCAAAATAATGAACATGAGCAGGAATCCCGTTATTTATTGTCTGAAACAATGACCTCCTCCGGACAGTGTCTTAAACTAAAGCCCTGCCTATACGTAAAAAAGCGTTGACATCTGTTTCTTCATGGTTTAGCATCAAACATAGATCATCATCGATAAAGTGTTGCCATCGCATTGTACAATGGAACTTCCACAGTTCATGAGGCGGACTTGGTAGGCGGAAGTGAGACAGAAAGTGGATGACTCATGTTAAAAAAGATTTTCTGTCTTCCAGGGTCATCCGGAAAGAAACTCTCGCTAATAATTTGTAGGTCTCTATTTTTGAATGCACATTCAGTTGCTTGTGTTCATGAAAACACAACGCAATATTGTTACCGGAACGTTTGTTTTGGTACAACTGACAGTTTTCACCTTCTACAAAGCTTCATATTCAAAACAACATGTAGCCTACTTAAACAATTATTCCCATAGTTTTACATTGGACTTCAACGGAATAAACAGGTGACTTCCTTGCAACGACTATTTTAGTCTCCTATATCGTGGTAGAGCTCACATACTCCGAAATAGCCATCATTCTAGGGTACGGAACTCACTCAAGTGTGATTTTAAGATGTTCATATTTTCTCCTGGCTATGGAGCTTTAGATCATTGGAATCGTAACTGCTGCTGAAAAATCTTTCGTCATGTTTTTGACGTACATAGCGGAGTGTTTTGGCGGTTTTTAACTATTCTCCGTATGTGTTTCTCTATTCGAACATAAAGTGCTTTCCTTACTCTAGAAGTACAGTAATCACCATAACATACAAGAAATCAAAGTTCGTACCTACTTGATGGAATCTGCATTCTTACCGTTGTGGGAAATTATATAATGTGGTACTGTGTCTATGATAGTACTGGTGAAGATTGCTTGAGTTACGGTACAATGCGTACAAACATAACAATTGTGCAATATTTATTAACTGAAAACTGATCATGTGAATTAATGATTAAAACTGTTCTGTAACGTACACACGGTCGTTGGTTCAGTCCTGTGCTTCGAGATAACTAAGTCTTTCTTCCATTCGGAGTCGACGAAACGGTGTCAGACTAGTCGTCGAGGACCAAACAGCGCTTTGATACACCGGTGTGCCTAAAATCATTGCATGTGCTAGATATGCATTTCCACATGATAATCACCTCTACGATTCCTATCTCTTTCACAAATGTACTCAATGATTTCAATATGTACGCTGTAGCACGTTTCCGACCGTACATCTTGATTTCAATGCGCATTTCAAACGCTCCAACAACACGCTGTTCGATGAGTCTCACACGCAAAAAAGGCCGGAATCGTTAAAGGGTTGAACCTTTATTTTATGAAAACAATTTGATGCACAGGGTTAACCGAAGTTGGCTCTCTTTCAATACTTTTGCATAGTTAAATCACTTTCTGATCATTTAACACCTTCACGATCCTGTGTAGTCAATCGATGGCTTGTTGAACACAGATTTATACAGGGCCTGGTCCATGGATAGGTATTCCTAGTTGTACTTGCAAAAGCTCGTCTCAGAGAGTGTACTGGAGTCGACGGACATGAAAACATGAAATAGGCGCAGAAATACACTTCGAGTGTCACACAAAATCATGCGGAAGCCAATAACATGGTGGTTGGACAATGGGCGAATTTTTTTCATCGCACAAGAGATATCCAGGGACATGGAAGATACACGGATTAACATACCAGATATTTACGAGTTAGACAGACATAGAAAAACTGTGAACGAGGCGAACAATAGGAAGATAATCTCGAGAAAGCAGTGCCGGCGCGGACTCACGGACCGTACATCTTGATTTCAATGCGTTAGTTCCAATTATGCTCCAATAACATACATTCCAAAGAGCACGACACTCGAAATTGGACGCGGTCGTGAAGGGGTTAATGCCCTTGGATGCATGGCGTATTCCTAAAGGATAGATCATCGCCAAACGCTCTATCCTCTTATCCAAACAAAGAAACGCTTTGTATCAGAAAAAAGTTAAAGTTGGAGTAAAGAGTTTTAACTTCATCAATAACAAAACTAGGGAGACATTCAGCGCAAAATCTACTGTGACTTTTTTCTCATTCACTGATCTTTAGTTGCCGTCATTATAATATTTTTTAAATGAAAGGAAATTCGCTTACTCATAGCATTTTTGTAAGCTTTAACGGATTTACTCTTTTACTTACTACTGTTTTTCGTTTACAGTGTGCACCAATAATTCAGTGAGGTCGTCGCCTCCATTGCACTGCCGCAGTCGCAGCATATTCCGCGCCAGACAGGCACCACTAGGTAGCCGCAACTACGGTAGTCTACGTAGGTTAGTGTGGCTATTTTTACTTATTCCATTTTTTATTCTACATAACCCGTCTTCATATCTTCTATGCGAATCCCATTGCTTTTTATGCTAGATTCGTTCCCTCACCTCCACAATCCATGGTGGTCTTCGAGCTTGCTACGTGGGTGTAGAGACGACTGCTCCTAGAGGATCGACGTCTTCATTATAGACGTCGATGAATAGTGGTCAACTCAATTCCCTCTGAGGTCCTTGGATAGCAGAGTTACAGCGTTTCCACTCAGTTTCAAGAAGTGAACTATTTCCGGATAAGTATGGAAAGGATTTCCCTACAACGGAGGGATGACAGCTTGGTTGGTCAAAGGTGGGGTCGACCTCTGGCATCATGCTCGTGATGAACATATCCAATGCTCTACCTACATCTTTTCCTATATTCCATTAAGAAGCTTTTTTATAACATAAAACCAGAAAGTAAGCCGGTAAATAGTAAGCAAAGCAATAATAGAGTAACATTTTTTCATCCCAGTTAATAGTTACACTTTCGGTACAATGTACGTGAAAGATGTCACACTATGAAATTTTGGCGATTTTTAGACGGAGCTCACCGAATAATACGAGCAATCTGCACTGCAGCAAAGACCTCCTTCAAATCGCCGACGACCACCGGATCGCTCGCGATCAACGACGATCGCTAACGCTGACGCCATTCCCGTAATTGCGGAAAGCTCAAAAGCCTTCTGGCTCCTCATATACGTTTTTGTTATTACTCAGACATTGTTTCCATTGTTACTTGAATTGTCTATTTTCTCTGGTGTTAAAGTTGTTTTTAAAGCATAACGAACAACATGGAAGAATGGGGGATCGCACGGTTCACTGTTTAAGGGCCTTAGAAGACTATGGGTAAATTATGTAAATGATCAAAGTATTCGAGTGAATATCACGGAAAAATAAATGAATAGTGAAAGTTTCTTCACATGCTTGTTCCAAACCGAGAGATTTCTATTCCACGTTAATGAAAGTTCATGGAACAATTCGAGAACCCTATTTGTCATCAGGAGCTATGCAGACGGATCAACGGATAAAATAACCTGGTTCTTAACAATAATACTTGTGCAGTTGTTGAAACATGCTCAAACCTACCTATCTTAGGTCTATTAGTCTTCGTAACGTGAGTCCTAGCAGCGCTCACGTGATAGAGTCCTTCGACGTTACCGCCCTTTATACAAACGTGTCGAATGAATCCGCCATGCAAGCCATCCTCGAACTCCTTATACAACACGCAGGAGCAATAAACATGTATGAATTCATTATACAGCAGTTGACGACACCCTTAAAGGGGTGCCTAAATTACTCAATCTTTAAATAATTTGGGAAGTACTTCGCATGAGAGTTGCCAATGGGAAAGCAAGTGGCACCACGCCTTTCCATTGAATTTGTGTATAAAGTGGAAACACCAATAATCGATCTCCGGCCACTACTCTACTGTAGATATATAAACAGCTGATTCGTCATTTGCTCATCACAAGAAGAAATGGACCAGTGTTTTGAGTTATTGAATATCAAGTCAGAGTAAATTAAGTTTACCTCAGAGAAACCGAGAGAAATGGAAACTGGCGTGGAAAATAGCCATTCTCGATAGCTTAGAAGATATAGCGCATTGAGATAGGTTTAAAGAAAAAGCCAAACCCCGAAACGATAATTCTAGTGATGATAAGGTCTCGTTTATTGCCCTCTTCGTCTATGCACAAAGCGAAATTGCATAATTCGAACTTATGGTAATGTTGGTGATCGCATGAGTTTGGATACGGTTTACCTGCTCTCCTGTAAAGCGTACTGGCCGAATACATTGGCGAAACAAGTAGATACAGTGCGTCCTCTCACAGGAATTGAAAACTTCAGTGCGGAAAACTCTCCAAACGTTCTAGATTAAAGGATATAAAGAATACTCGGCGTTGATCAATCCCTGATGGATGCGCCATGAATTCGACCTAAGCATCGCCTGGATGTGACCGAATGCAAATCTCGCCTTTACAATGACTCGCGGTGGCCTGCCGATGTATTGAGCCAGTGCTGCTATCCACCCAGACGGGTCTGGCACCAATTTGCCGGCCCCGGAGGGATGGAAGGGTCATGGGTGCGGAATCAATTCCACATGTGTCACAGGGTGTCTCCGACCACTGCACTTTACTCGCCCTCGGCATTCCGGATAAATTCCAAGAATACAAAATGAAAAACTGGGAAGAGTGCCTCGTTACTACCTCTCCCATACAATATTTCAAAGTGATATTTTGACTAAAAGTAGCTCATTACCCATTCATGTAAGCTCTGCACGGTTGCTCTCCATGTGGAATACTCAGCGGAAGACTCAAAGAGAGCGGTGAGTGTGTGAACAAGTTGTTTTATACTAACGCAGTTCAAAATAGGTATCGTGATTTTCTGTTGAAGCTACGAAGGCGTTTGGGTTAGTAGATTGAAGCTAACCTAACTTTCTAGGCGGCTCTGAAGAAAGCTAAATCCACCGAAATGTCAGGTTTTTTGTGGATAAGAAGCAAAGAAAACCACGTGTTTGCAACACGTGCTCGAGCCACAGTATAAGCGACAGAAGACTTCAATTTTTGTAATTCTTTACTTCTGGTTTGTAAATAACAATTGAAAGGCATTTTTTCGTAGGAATGTCATTTAGTGAAAAAGTGAACTGATCATAGAGGCCTGAAACAAAAACGAAAAAACTGGACTAGAGATTAACAGTTGGCTATCTCAAATCCTCCGTATTTGTCGCCAGAACGTCAGGTGATGAGAACTTTATAAAAATTCAAGAGGATTCAAGCACATTCGAAAAATACAAATACACCATAGATGTAAAAATAATGAATAACGTTAACAGTATCAATAGGCAGAATCATGACAGAAGACTGTCTTACCACGAGTTAACAAAATGTTTTCGTTGCTTTCTAAACAAACATTAACAATAGAATTAATAAAGAAAAAGAGTACCATTCGACGAATGTGGATGGCAATACCCATATCGATGATAATAAGAGTAAATAGAGCATCTTTTAAACTATTACCTAGTCTTTCCAAAGAACTTCTTCAAATCCTCAGTTAATAAGAATATTGTAGGTAATAGAAGGAGGGCATGGAACATTCCTAACGCTCCGACAAGAAAAACCGTCTTCCAAAACACCGCCACCACATAGGCGTGCACGAATATCAACGGGAACAATCCTTAAACTTGCCAGATTATTAGAATAGAGCGTCAGATCAAGATTACCATATAAACATCTAAGACGTTTTCTTCAGAGCGAAGAAAGAAGGATCAAAGCGCTCAGTCATATTCGACGATATCCAACTGAGCTCCGAAAAATTCGGAAACAAAACGGAAAAAAAACCAACTGAAGTCCTTCTTAACTTCCAAAAAAAATAGTAGAAAGCAAAAATAATTGCATAAATATATAAAATATATATATAATATAAAAATACTTTGCTCACCTATGATGGTGCTCAACCCGCTTTGAATCACTGGCCAGCCGACACCGCGGAGCGTGAGCAGCACTCGTTGCATGGACTGCTCTTTTGTGGAATTGTGGGACGATACGTTGGAGTTGCTCGAATGATCGGTGCAACCGGATCGGAACGAATCAGTGGTGCTCTGCAAAATGCTTCCAACGGTTTCCTTAAAGAAAGCTGGTTTTGGAAATACTGCTTCCAATGGTTGTACAACTAAACAATATGAAAAGTCTCCACCCCAGATAATACACGAAAAGGATAAATTGCTCGCAGTTAGCGATCCCTTAGAGATGTGTCACGCATTCGACTTTATGCTTAGAGTCCTAAAAGCATATCCGACCTCAATCACTGTCGGGCATACAAATCTATCAGGCGTTTGTATCCTTCCGGCCTTGTCTGGTCCTCCTTTACTGTTATCGAAGGGTTGGAGGACTTAGCAAGGCCGACACGCGAGAACGAACACGCAATTTGTGTGTTTCTGTATGTGTTTGCGTGCGTGCGTGCGTATGTGTGTGTGCGTGTGTACGTGTGTACGTGTATATGTGTACATGTGCGTGTGTGTGTACGTATGTATGTATGTATGTACACGTATGCGTATGTGTTATAAAGGGCACCTCTAACAACTACACTAAACGTCTCAGTGTGTTTCTGAAACTCTTACCGATATTCTTTGAAAGTCTCACCATTGTGCGTTCCGTCATGTGTTCATGTTGGTCTTCAGTGGCGTGGGCAAAGTAGTGATAACAAACATGAGCTGAATAGTCGACGGAGAAACCGACGCTCATCAAAATACTGATCAGCGACACCGCATCCAGACGAACACCCCACAGATGGAGGTAAGCCACTATGCCTAAAACATTTGTTTGTTAAAGTTTGTTATACATTTGTTAAGGTTACAAACTTATAAGGTGTTAGCTATCAAATTAAGTTAAGGCTTATAGGCTATTAATCGAGTAATAGGCTTTACTTGTTTTAATTGCTTCATGTTGAGCTCCCAACGGTTTACCGGCTCATCATGGCTGGGAGGTGTTCCTGGGTGTCGGACTACGATGTACAGCAGGGGATTCATCTCTCTAGCAAGGTCTCCCAAGCTGATAAGGAGTCCGGCATTTCCAAAAAGAAATCTAGCTAAGAGTAAATCAATACCAGGATCCACTACCGTCCTAATATCAAACTAGTCGCATGGTGGCAAAGCTCCCTCTGATCCACAAGGGCGGCGACTAGCTGTAGTGGTGACAACCTGGGGCAGACTTTCGCCAGACTAACTTGGGACTTCAGAGAGCTAAACCATCAAAACTCCGAAAAATGGACATTATGCTGGGACCCGCACAACCAGTGAGGGCGGGCCGTTCAAGCGTCCAAGTGTTGAGCAACAATGCTGTGCAATAGGAGGAAAATAATAGATTGAACTTACTGAATAAAAGATTGTGTGCGTGTTCTCAGACAAATCTAGACAGTTATTCATTTTTAAAGCCACTACGTCTGCTCTCATTCTTATAGTTAATCTAATGTTAATCGGAAACCACACGTTTCCATTGACTCACCACCAACAAGCAATACAAAGAACGGCACAGCATAGCTACTTTTCACCTTACTTAGTAAACCTTAAAATTGAATGCACGCAAGAAAAACGATGGGTACTAAGGTGTCGGAATATAGTCGAATTTATATCGATATTTCTAATTAGTCGTTAACCTACCTAGGCAAATAGAGGTGATAGATATGACCACAGAGATGATAGCCTCCCAGTTCATCACGAACAACAGCACCAGGAATGACATTAAAACAATAGCCGATACTAAAATGATTTTTTTTTATTTTTTGCTTAAAAATAAGTGACATTCATAAGCTTCTAAGACAAAATTATAAAGACAACTGATTGAACAGCTGAGCAAAACATTTTGCTAAATTGCTACCGGCAGTTTGTATGAAGTTGTGTGGAGCACTGGCGGCGCTTTCCGTTGGCACCTTCTCGAAGGGATGATGGGAAAGCACATGGAACGATGGATAAGAGGCGATGATAGCTCGTCTGAACAAATAAGCCGCTCTTTTTTTAAACATATCAAAAACATTGTCTACACTATATTTGCTAATTTGCCCTATGTAGGACGCGTTTAGGGAAGTGGCTCGAGGTGCCTTGTAATGCACACTGAACACTTGGCTAATCAAGCTGCCAATTCTCACGTAAGGCCAGCAGACTTGTCTGGGAGAACGAAATACTCACTCACTTTGCAAATCTAACTCACAAAAGTCGTTGTATATCTCAAAATGCACTCAATTACCTTTACGAAGTTATGAATGGAGTTGAATGAGTGGCATACTTTCCAGGTACGGGTCAACACCAAACTCTTTTCACTTTATTCTATTTACTCTATTTACTGTTCTATTTACTGTAAAGGCTTCAACGGTCACTTGTCACCGCATTTACACGAAGATGGAAAACAGTTTTGAGAGCCGCTTTGCACAATCATCGTAGGTGAAATGTCTTCCGTTCAAGGTCTTACCCCAATCGCTACGAAGCCTAATTTTCAGTCCTTACGAAGTTGCTGGTCACTTGCCAATTAACAATAATTTTTCGATAACCACAGAACTTGCGTTTGGAGCTTAACCCAATTGCAGAAGACTTTTCTCTTCGGTTTTATATGTACGAAAGGCGTGTATGCTATTACGTACCACTTGTTCTCATGGTGCGTCATATAAACACATTGCTGGCAATATGTGAAAGTGTTTTGTAGCTTATGCCCTATTCGTTTCGAAATCATTTTACTCTTCCATCCTATGCAATAACTACAATTCATTATAGTCGAAGGAACCGAAGTAAAATTCAATTCCCAGTCGGATTACCAGTTAATAAGCTCATTCGAGAAAAAATTTTATATTTTTCCAACAGCAGAATAGCGCTTTTCCGAGCCAAAGCCACAACATCTGTAACTCCCACGACCGACTTTCTATTAACCTCGGCATTGATCAAGCAATTCTTCGTATTTGTGTTGAGCAAACGCGAGGTGTTATTATTCTTTATTCACGAATAAGCTGACGTTTCGGCGAATTTCGCCTTCCTCAGAGCCTGGAAAGGTCAAGTTGATAGCAATCTACTCGGTCAGACGCCTCCATAACCAAACAAAGAAACTCTAAATCAAGATTTCAATCACATTGAACACAGCTTTGCGCACTCACCGCTTTCTATGAGGTTTCCACTAAGTATGTCACGTAGAGACCAACCGCACAGAAATCACATGGAAGCATAAGGTGCTCCTCCCATCAGAATAGCAGTCTTATATACTGCCCTATATCACGCGTGATAATGAGGCATTCTTCCCTGCGGTTCATTTTCGGATTCTTGGAATTAATCCAGAATGCCTCGAGAGTTTTTCGCGCCTGTGTTCTTGATTCGCGTGCTAGGATCGTGACACATAGTTCAAAGTCCTCCCCATTATGGGTCCTATGCGTGCCTAGCGGAGTATTTGGTCTGTTTTCCGGCTAGGTGTTCTTTTATGCGGACACAGAGGGGTCTGCCCATTTCGCCAATGCATTCGTCACCGCACGTCTTACAGGAGATCAGATAAACTATACCCGAGCTCATGCAATCACCGTCTCTACCACTGGGGCAAATTATGCAGTTTTGAGTTGCACATAGACGGTCATATAGGCGGTTACGAACTAGCTGGCGCTTAAGATTACTCGGTGGTATTTCAACTACGCGTACCGAATTCTCTAAACCCGCCCTTCTTAAGCAGCGTTTTATAGCTGTACTTATATCATTTGAGATAAAGGGTAGGATAAACGGGACCCTTCTATCGCTAGAGATATTGCTTGGAGGCCAAGGATTTCCCCTACACCTATCTTGAGCTACAGTTTCGTAGCCATTAGAAGTGGCTATTTGCCGTGCCAAATTCCGGGACTCCTCTCTCGGCTCTCTTCCCGTGCACACATGTGTGTTGGACAATCTAGCATATGATTACAAAAAGTATAGAAAAACGTTCTGCGCGCCAAAATAACAAGTAAAATCATCCCCGTATAGCTCACAACGGCCACTTGGAGATCCGATTGTGAACACTATAGTGTCCTAAGTGCGGGCGACGTCAATTATGATGGCTGGACAATCCAAATCCTATCATGGGAGTGTTCTGTTGTTCCCACTACGTTCAAAAATGTTCAGTTAGTTTTCCAGTAATTTTCAATGAATCCTCACCGTTGTTGCATTAGGTGCTGAACATCCAAAAACGAGCTCAGGTTGCGATAGACGATGACGAAGTAAAAACCATTCATGACGTTTTCACCATCTTTATTTTTTCTATAATTAAAGTTCAGTATAAACGTATTGGTGGAAAGAAGAATCAGTTATAGAGCAGAGCAGAGTAAAATGTTATTCGTACTTGATGATTATGAATTTTTCTTCTAGTCCATAATCGTAGTAATTTTTTAGCAACACTTCTGGCATCCAGAAATCTTCGTCTCCATCCCAAAATGCGATGTCCTTAATATATCGTGGATGGTTGAAAAAAATCTTAAAAACCATTAAGAAGTCTTTCCCTACCTTTTTACATATTTTCTATCATTTCTTAGAAGGATCAAGATAGAAGACCATCGAGACCACCATCAAGATTTTAAATCATTTTTTAAATATTTCTTTGATTTCGATCACAGCCTCAGCTTAACTGGGTTTGTTGCCGATTTGGGCTCCCTAGATCAATCCCGTTGACGGGTGATTGCTGATGGCAAAAGATCGATAAAACTAGTTGAGAGACAGGGGAAACGAGGGACCCACATGGTGTGGTGGTAAACGCGTTAGCCCCCAGAAAGGGTAATAAGGCGTTCGTTCCCCACCCCAAACACCTGGGGTCCGGAGTTTTGCAAATATCTCAGCATCATTGTGGTTGTTTCACAAGATAGAACAGTTTTTTGAATTCACAAAAGAAAAGTAATACCTTAGGAATCTACCAGAACTAACATTACTGTATTCTCTCGTCCATAGTATCGTTGAATTAGGTCCTGCACCGAAATTCGGAATTCGTTCGAGTTTTTCGACCATTTCCTCAAATTTTTTTCGTATATTTTCATTCGAGAAGTCGGGCATCGGTTGCACAGCGAAATTTACAACGAAGGACTCACGAAGAACGAAGTCCTGTGAAAACATTCTCTAAGGATTTAATATGTTTTCACTTTCAAATTTTTCTTTCAGCACACCTGCATTCGTCGTGAAATATCCATTAGCGGTGATCCTTCGAGATAGAGATTCTCCATGTCAAAATCGGTATTCACTTGAAACGCTAAGACTGAACTTACCTAAACAGACCACGATGAGATTGGAGAGTAAAAAGAAATGGAAAGAAATATGAAAAATGCCTCTTTTTTTATTCAACTCGGAAAAGTAGGACAAATAGAAATACTAAAAGTAAGAACAGAGGATGGTGCAGCAGTTTGTGATGCAGTCCATCAAGAAGCAAGGAGCTGGTTTGAACCCTCCCCAAAGTCGTTTCCTACCCCATGTAGGAACGCTTCAGCTCGGCTATCTTCAAGATTCTAACGAGAATTTACTTAACCAGCATTTTACGACATTCTTAAATAAGACGACATCGTCAAGCAGTAGCCGAAACAACACGCGAATTATTCGAAGACCAGTCTGGACAGTGAATGCGAGGAAAACAAATCAAGTGCGAGAAGTACTGGAATCCGCGCAGTAGATGCGATGGCAGATCATGCGAAATGAAGTAAAAACGTAAGGACAGAATTCAGTAAGCCGTTTGCTGAGACAAAGCAGACTGTCTTTGTTATTAGCGCTGCCCTTTTCCTACCTTAATAGGGAAATTAATGTGTTTCCAACTTTCAAAGAAACTCACTATGACATGAATCATAAATACTAGCATGATTAGCGATTTGGCGGTTTTGGAGTGCAACCAATCTACGAACACCTCCAGCTTTGTCTGAGTAGAGGCCTTCTTCGAAACCGGTGATGAGAACCCCGGGATTGTAATTGAGAACACCGTTCCGCTGTGACACTTCCCGGGTGATGAAGTTTTGTCCTAAAATTATACCAATCCTTTAACCATATTCTACAGAAAATGAAAATTCGAATACATAAACATGTATCATATATCCGCTTGTTAGAATTTTTCAAGTCTTAAACTCTCCACTTCAAATCCTTTTATTTTAACTAGTAGAAAACTCCCACGAAACGAACTGGAAACGATACAATGCCCTCAGTCCCAGCATTTGCCTCACAGTTTTGCAAGTTACCTATGAAAATGAACGCGCTAAATTCACAGGGTACGCGATTGGGATAATCCAAAATCAGAAACGACTACGTTTAATAAACAAAAAATGTCTCTGATGGTGAAGCTTTGGTATTTTCTCCCTTCGACACGGTGCTTTTTTCCACCTTCATGGTTTTATTGATATTCAGGAAGTTATTGTAAAATGATCGCACTGTGATCAACCTTCCTGACTATAAAATTGTTTAACAATCCCAATTCCAAAACAGTTTTCAAGCCGAACGTCATTTAACCTCGGTAGCAAAATAATAAACATATTTTTAAATTTATTTATGTGATCTTATAAACTGATCTTCTTAAGCTGACGCGAGGTTGGTAGATCACGGCGATTGGCCTTTCTGTTCAATATGGCGTCCGTTTGAAAGTTTGATCTTCATTAATACTTTAACCTTTCTTTTCCACCGAATAATGAAAATATTCTAATATTAAATAAGTCCAGGCTCTGAGGAAGGCGAAGTCGCCGAAACCTCAGCCACGGACCAACAACATCAACAACGACAACGAAGACCTGTACCATCCTCGCGTCAGCTTAAGAAGATCAGTTTATAAGATCACATAAATAAATATATCAACTATCTATGCCGATGTTTATAGAAAGTCGATCTTTCGAGTTGTTCATAGGACAACTTGTCCAACTCTTGCAACGACGGTAACACAATCTGCATTTGCTTATCATCGTGAGGAAGAATTAGGAAGGAAGGATTACTATCTTTACTATCTATCTTTAAAGGACTGCTATTCCTGAATACTCACGCAACCGTAGACGTCGTAGGAGTATTTGGGAAGCTGTGATGGATCGAACAGGTTTAAAGCATCAAACGATTAGCATAAACTTTTTTTGATGAAATTTCGGGTTTGGGAACTGCTACTGAACTTCATCGTCGAGGAACCATTAAGCCGATGATGATGAGAACTAAAGCAGCAGCTTCAGCTACAAGTTGAAATGAAATATCAGTTGTAAATTCAGCAAATGATGTTGCGTGAAATCACATAACTTGAAAAATCAATGTCTTCGAAGAACTAAGACATCAAGCACGGGCTTGGAACGAATCCAGCTAACAAGAATTCGATGTTTTTCTTGAATAAGAAGATACGAGGCTGTTATCATAGAAATCATTAGGATACAGTGGCTGACGCTTCGGCGGTTTCGCCTTCTTCAGAGCCTGAAAAGGTCAAATTGAGATGCGACCAACTCAGCCAAACCCTTTCATAACCCTAGCAGATAAAACTTAACAAATAAATTTATATTCGCATAAGAAACAGTTTCATTTAAACACCTACCGTTTATTTGCTGTAAGTATTTAAGTTAGTTGATGGATAGCAGCCGTACAGAGTAATACATGGGCGATAACTGTGCCTGTATCAGGTCATTGGATTAGCCTGAGGTATGGCGCTAGGTCAGGCGTGATGACAAGACACTCCTCCTTACGGTTCATTTTTTTTTGAGAATACAAATTTATTTGTTAAGTTTTATCTGCTAGGGTTATGAAAGTGTTTGACTGGATAGATCGCATCTCAATTTGACCTTTCCAGGCTCTGAAGAAGGCGAAACCGCCGAAACGTCAGCTATTGTATCCTAATAAA